ACCTTTTAGTTCCAAAAAAGAAATGTGTTATTCACTCGTCTTGGTTCTGGTTTTACTAGGACTTTTTTGAATGGTATACAGGTTTTGCTGGCTTCTTTATGTCGGCTGTGCACGTATAGTTCACATCTCATTATATTCAATTTTAATACAGAATCGTCTTCTCTGATATGATGGACTATTGCTGGTAGATTGCTATTACACAGTATAGTATTCTCGTTTTCTGGCTTTTGTTAACATTTTTGTCTCTCAAAGATAATGTAGTCCAAATACACAAGGGATGTTATAAATATGTTTTTGCCCTCCATTGAATCATTAAATAGATTAGTATACATCAAACACAATTGTATTATGTTGCGGCTTCGGAAGACTCTTCTGACTTTATAATGTTGTAATCCTTTGTATACTTTTAGAGATTTTGGCATAAAGGAATATGAATATCTGCCTATCATTTTCTTTGGCCTATTTTTGGTGTTTGTTTTCTTTATCAGGTGTTATCAAAAGGCAGATCGTATTAATGTGTTTTCCTTCATTATTAACATCTATTAGTTGGCTATTTACGATTGTTATGCTGTTATTTTTCAGCAGATTCCTAAGGGCAATTTATTCTGTAATAATAAAAAAAAGAATACACCACCAAACTCCAAAGACTTGTTGACGATGGCCACCTGAAGAATATTACTTCTTACCCCACAATAACAGAGAGAAAATACAGCCAACAATACACTACAGCACTACCTCATGTGTTTTTGGTCCAGCTGAAATTCCCAAATAAAGCTATCTTCTGTAAATATCATTAGCCAGTAAAACATTCTTACACGTTAAGAATTCAACCGACTTTATATAGTTAATAAAAAATAACCACGATAATTTCAAAAGATATATAATTATATATTCAACTTACAGATAGGAGCACTTCGCCAACAGATTTAAAAAAATAGAACTCTCAAAGGATTTACCTATTTAACAATTTCCACTATAAAAGAACCAGGAAATTTATGTATTAATACAAGTTACTTCCAAAATGAGGAAGAATATTATCAACAACAAGAAGGCCCTGTCATGGGCTCACCCTTACCACCTGTACACTTCAAATATAACGCCATAAAACCTACCCCAGATATTGGTTCAGATATGTCTACACATAATATTTCAGAATTCATCAACCACCTGAACATACAATACCCAGCGATACAATTGACAAGATAACAAACTCCCATTCTAGGACGTAATGGTCACCTAAACCCTCAACTGTTATACCACGAGAGTTTACAGGAAATCCACAGATACGAGTAAATACCTCGACTATGGATCAAACAACCCGAAAAACGTAAAGACGGGCATCATAGACTGCCTGAACAAGATTTATAATACAGCTGATGCTAAGAAGAATGAATAACACATTACTGCGACCCTCCTTAAGAACGGATACGCTGAACACTACATACAGAACAAATAAAGAAAATGTAAGTAATAAGTACGAAAAAAAATTACAGACACAGCCTCACTCCTCTATCTCAAACGTTTCTATGGAAACGTGTAAATCATACGAATGCAGCGTGAAATTAGAATCATGTTCAGAGGCCCGCAACACAATAAGATAACAGTTAGTGTAACAGCCTATCTTGTCAGAGAATGATAATTTAATGGTACCCTCGTCATATTACAATGAAAATTATAGTTTCGGACAATAATGCATCATTTGGGTACCAGACTGAACACCCCAATATATTCAATCTTTCCAGAAGCTTTAAAATACTGTCCTTACAGTCAATGTACGATTAATCTCAGCATTACAAATATTATGTTGATTAATGTTGCACTTTTTAATTTAAACTTTTAATAATTTAATCAAGGGAATTTTAAATGTGGGCTTGATGCGTCTGACTTTTTAATGTATCAACTTGACCACTTCTAATGAGATTATAATGACCAGGTGGTTAGGGCGCTCGACTCGCAATCTGAGGGTCGTGGGTTCAAATCCCCGTCACACCAAACATGCTCGCCCTTTCAGCCGTGGGGGCGTTATAATGTGATGGTCAATTCCACTATTCGTTGGTAAAAGAGTAGCCCAAGAGTTGGCGGTGGGTGGTGATGACTAGTTGCCTTCCCTCTAGTCTTACACTGCTAAATTAGGGACGGCTAGCGCAGATAGCCTTCGTGTAGCTTTGCGCGAAATTCAAAACAAACAAACTAATGAGATTGTAACAAAATACCGATGATGTCATTTTTTGTAAGCATGTATGTTTCTGTATAATGTTTTACTTACAAGTTCAATTTAAATTTCTAATTACTAGTTCATGGTGGTTGATCTGTACGATTCAAAGAAACGTATGCAAGTTTTAACATAAGAAATGATTCTCATACCGCTTGCTTTGGTTATTTTCACAATTTTGTCAACAAAAAATTTAACTTGGCGGGAATTTTGTTTGAAGGAAGAGAAAACAACGTGATAGTTGCTTGCTCCAACATTACATTTATTATTACTTTTTGTAAGTAATACCTGAAATTTAAATCTATAAAAAAATACATCGCCAATTAAGTAATCCAGATAGATGCAATACTAAAATATATAAGATGGTCCAATACATATACGTTGTGATTTTTACGGTTAAATACATGTACCTGATGATGACAAAACCTTGTCGAAACTTTGTACATTTGCTGTTATGTTAAACTTATATTAAAGTTTTTCTTCATTACCCATTCAAGCCGTCTCCAACCATTATTAGTCTCAAAGTAGGTTCCTCGTCATCGAACATGTAATTTTATTTTTGATTCGTAATAAGGTATAAAGCGCCACCTCTAGGATAAATGTGAAAATATTATTTAATGCAACATTCCATAAAACTTGTACTGGTGGAAAGATATATATATATAAAGAATTTACCTTTAAAACCTTTAGGAACACATTTTGAAATGTCGTACAGTAACTGTTTACCTATAACTGTTGGCGAATAATTTAATTAATAGTTTTTACTTTAAGCTCGTCTTGGTCATGTGCACAAAAGGTCGTTTTTTTTTAAATAATCTACCACTCAGCTTTCAAGTTCAGTTAAACTAAAATGACAAAATCACTTTATTCCAAAAGTACATTTCACATCGTGGCTGTAAGCTCATTAGCCATCAAAAAAGTTAGAGCAATATTTTATGGTACATTTATCAGTTGTGTTTATTAGTTAAACTAATTTCTGATAAAAATATTCTTTGATTTTATGGAATACTAAATTCTGTTAAAATGTTACAATATGAATAGTAGTTTATTTGATACGTTATAAATATACAAGATAACCTTACGGTCATCCCTCTTGCACATGTATGTTTCTCATGTGTGAATATAATAGATCCTCTAACACAATGATAACTGAGATATTTTTTTCATTGCATTCTTAAATTTCTAAACAGTAGTATAGTTTCTTTTTCTCACATCTTACAAACAGCTCACAACCGATAAATCTTATTATGATTATATTGAAATTGAATGAAACATTATAAACAATCTATTTATTGAATTTTTACATTATTGGCTAACAAAAGTTTGTGATACATTATGAAAAATAACACAGTGTGCAGTCCTTGGACTTGCTCTGAATACAAACAAGATGTAACTGCTGACCATAACAGTCCAATAAATAAACCAATATTAACAAAACCTTTCAACTCCATTTGAGGATTAGTTCTTTACAAAATCCCTGTCACTCTCAAGTCCATGTGCTTGTAATATACAAAAACAGAAAATAAAACTTATAAGAATATATCAAACACCTGCAGAAACCTGTTTTTGAATCCTTTCAATCATTTTTCTGTCCAAATGTTTCTGACGCAGTACAACCATGGCAGCACTAACAAAACCTACAGCAAGCATCATCCCTTCAAATATCCAAAAATTTCTTTCTTCAATCCAGGGTACTCTTTCACAGCTATAATAAAAAATCTATATTAGACTTTATCCACTAGATCAATAATCAGATCTCTTTTATTTATCTATCAGAGACACATACACATAATATTCCAATCCCTTTGGATTCAATAAAAACACTTATTCTTTACTACAGTTAGCCACTAGGAAAAAAAAAAAACTTATATTTTGAAACAACTAAAAGAAGGATTCAGCATATTGATTCTACTAACTTAACACCATATTGATTCTACTAACTTAACATTAAAGTTAAATTTTGTTTCATTACTTCTCAACATTAATTTTATGTTAATGATGATTAATTACATATAAATATTTATAAATCTAGCTGTACTCTAATGATTTCACATTTAATTTAATATGCTCAACACATTCAAGAATAATTGCTCAATAGTGTGTTTTATAAGGTTACATATCTAAGATCATCTCCGTAAACCAGTGTTTAATAATACTATTGAAA